TGGGAGCCATGCCGTCTGCTGTGGGACTCGCTGGGTGCTTGCAAATTACTCTTGGTTCCTGCCGGGTCCCTCCAGCTGCCCAAAACAACAGCCTGGGCTGGCAGAACCGGGAGCAGGACTAACAAATCTATCTCCCTGGCAAGTCACTTGGGAGGAGCTGGCCTTAGACAGAAGACTCAAGAGCAGCAGCCCCATTCAAGAAGCGCTGCTCTGCCGGCCAGGAGACGGGGAACTGGGTCTGAGCCAGCCACCGCATCCGCCTGTTCATGAGCTCTGGTACCGACAGTGAGCGAAACTCCAGCCCGTCGCTCCTCCTGTTGGCATCCACTTCATCGTAGCCACTTTCTTGCTGTGCCCGCGTGTTGGGGTGCAGCCACTTATAGTAGGTGACTCTCAGCGCCAGCCCCAGCAGGTAGCAGGGCAGGGCGGCGGAGACCACTGGGATGAGGTACGAGTGCTCATCAGAGGGGGACTGGGACCAGAGCCAGGACAGGGCCAGCAGCGTGCTGTCCACCAGGATGAAGCCATGATAGATGATGCTGCGGTACAGCGTCCTCCCCTGCGCCACGTTGAACCAGCTGAAGTAGAGGATCACGGCCACTATGGCCCGGTAGAGCTGCTCGGGACCGGGTGACTCCATGAAGTCTGTGCTCTGCAGGCTGACCCAGAGGAACATCGCCAGCCACACGAGCGGGAAGTGGACAGCCACACCATAGGGCCAGAGCAGGGCAAAGAGGGCAATGGTGAGGATGCGGGGGCAGATAAGAAAGAGGTTCCACAGGAAGTAGATGATGGAGGAGCCCAGGCTCAGCTCGTACTTGTCCTGCAAGAAGGAGCGCAGGGACTGGTGGTAGTCCAGTAGAGACCAGGTCACACACAGGAATGCAGTGCAGATCCCCAGTCCTGCAAACACAGTGGTGGAGATGCTGAGGGCAGATTAAAGGGGGCCGAGCACGGCTCAAACCTCCTCCTGCCCGGCATTGCTAAGACAAGCTTCCCGCCAGCTTGCAAAACAGCTGCTGCAGAGGGTCAGAGCCTCAGCACCGGCGTCTCTCCCCCTGGGTCTGCCTTCTACCCTTCCCGAAGAGGAGGCTGGTATCCGACCTTGCCCAGGAGATGGGGAAGAAGCAATGGGACCAAGCGGCTCTGCAAAGCCCGTCTCCCAGCCCACACGGGCAGGAGATGAGTGCTGGCTCCACCCAACCAGTGCATGGTTGGGCTCCCCACTTCACTGCAGTGACACCTGCTCCCCACCCTGGATGGGCACCAAAGCATCTCCTTGGTGGCCTGCGCTCC